CAGGCCCCGCCCCCGGCCCGGTCCTGGCCAGGCCCCACCCACCGTCGTCACGTGGCGGGGCGCGGGTTTCGGCCTGCGGCCGCTGCTCCACTCAGCATTCGCCATGGAACTGGTGCCCCGAACCTCTCCCGTGTCTCTGCTGTTGCTGCTGCTTCTGGGCCTGAGCACCGGTAGGTTCGGGCAAAAGGTGCATCAGCGGCCGGTACCTCCGTCTCTCTCCAGGGATGAGCGTCTATTAGTGGATTTATGCTTTTGAAAGCAAATCTCTTTCCCCCAGTTTCTACCTTGCGTAATTATACTGCTTTAGAACCTCGCTCTCTTTCCTTTCTTTCTTTCTTTCTTCTTTTTCTTCTTCTTTTAATGCTAAGTGCTTTTTCTACCCCTTTCTGGCCCTGAGTGCTCTGGTACTCCTCTCTTCCCTACGCCTAGGTAGAAGCAGTTGTGCAAAATACCTGACTTGGGGAAACTGCTGATCGATGAGGTTTCCACGATCCTAAGTCCACCTCCCTTTTCCTGCGGTGATTGGCTGCTAAGCGGGATTAATGAGGACTTTTTATTTTGAGCTGAAACATGCGGTGCGAAGGACCCTGAAAAACCAACCCTACCACGATTGGGACGTTTCATTGAGATGAGGTCTTTCTCTCTCTTCTTAACAGAACAGACAGCATAACATCTCCCCTCATTGCCATTCGTTTTGACAAAAACAAAATCGTGTTTAATAGGATGACTTGCAAATCGATTTTCAGTCTTTCAGCAAAATGTTTCGTGGTCTGAATCAAGATCAGAGAATTCGAACTGGCCACCAACTTGCCTTGTGATCTTAGGCAAACTGCTTAAGAGTTCCCGTCTTTCCTTTTATAAACTGGGGATCATCTGGCCCTTCAGCTTGGGTCTGGGAAATGTTGTCAAAAATGCCCCCCCCCCCCCCCCGATTTTAACAGCGGTCACTGCCAGGGAAGGGAGGAGGGCCAGGGGTTAAGTCAAAAGGGACCCGAGCTGTATCTGTCATGTAATCTTGGGTCACTTGTACAGAGAATCTTCCAGCCACATCTATGATCTAGCCACTCTGTTTTGCTCTTCAAGCCACTTTCTGGTTTTCTTAATCTATATCCTTCTCACTTACAAAACCCCATTGTCTCCTCCTCTACTCCCTTCTCTTCTTTTTGAGACCAGTGTTTGTGCTTTTCCTTGCCACGGGTTCTTGAAATTTAAGAAAAGAGGAAGTAGAAGGCAGGAAACTCCCATCATGGGGAGCCCATTATCTTTGAACAGCAGCCTTTTCTTTTTTTTTATTATTTTTTTATTCTTATGTTAATCCCATACATTACATCATTAGTTTTAGATGTAGTGTTCCATGATTCATTGTTTGTGCATAACACCCAGTGCTCC